GTCCGGAGGGTGATTCCATTTTTATCCTCACAAAAAGAACGGGCGTGACGACTCATCCGAGACAGTTGCGTGATCGTCACAGCGGAGTAGGGATTTGTGGCTGTGTCTCCTGCCCCAAGGAGCTGCGGTGGCTCAAGTGGTTAAGACGCTGAACTGCAGGCTGTGGAAGGTCAGTAGTTCAGCAGTTTGAGACCCGGGTGCCGCATGACGGAGTGAGCTCCCGTCTCTAGTTCCAGCTCCTGCCAACCTAGCAGTTTGAAAGCGAGAAATTGCAAGTAGATAAATAGGTACCACTTCGGTGGGAAGGTCACAGCGTTCCGTGCGCCTCGGTGTTTAGTCATGCCGGCCACATGACCACGGAAACGCCTTCGGACAGCGCTGGCTCTTCGGCTTGGAAACGGAGATGAGCACCGCAACCCTAGAGTCGGACTCAACTGGCTTTCGAGAAAGGGAGACCTTTATCTTTACCTCCTGCCCCAAGCCTAGGGCCCGACCTGCTGCACCACACAAGCTTCAGTCTCCTAGGGAGGACCAACAAAGACCAGCTCCGGACCCTGCAGCTACAAAGCAAAAACAACCCGGCTGCTTTCCCGTCTCCCCCGATTAAGTAGAAACCGGCTTGTGTTTTGGGCTCCAGTTCAGACTCTTGAAACTAAATGGATGAAGATAAGACTCAAGCCGCCGGACAGTAGGTATCGATTCGCAGACAGATCATCTCCCCAGCATTAATCAATGAAGAGAACGTTTCTGTGGATCCAGCATTCCTCCCCCTCCCCCATATAGGAAATCATTCATTCTCAGATTAGTTGTACATGAAGGGGGAGCAGAAGATGCGCCTCCTTCCCTCTCGCATCCTTAGGATACTTTCCAGCCACTTCTGTGCTACTGCATTGGCATGGAGTCACTCGGTCGGAGGGGGAAGTGGTTGTACCCCTTGCTGGTCATGGACATGGCAAAAAAAGACGAAGAGAGAAGAGATTGGATTTCTACCCCGCCCTTCACTCGGAGTCTCAGAGCGGCTCACAGTCTCCTTTCCCTTCCCCTCCCCACAAACAGACACCCTGGGGGGTAGGCGGGGCTGAGAGAGCTCTGACTGAGAATTGCTCTTGAGAGAACAGCTCTGAGGGAACTGTGTCTGACCCAAGGTCGGTCCAGCAGCTGCATGTGGAGGAGTGGAGAATCAAACCTGGTTCTCCCAAATTAGAGTCCACTCCACCAAACTGGCTCTCTGTGTTCTTGGAGGACTCCTCAAAGTTGGGCTGTCTGTGTACTCAGAGGGAAAAACCCAGAACTTTGTAAAGTAGAGGAAAGCAAAACCATTCCCACTCCCGCCTCCCAAAGCCTCGATGAGTACTGAATATGAGCCACCACTGGGGTACTACTAAAGGTAGCTGGGTGGGGGGAAGCTTACAAAATCCTGGAGGGGGAGATCTTGGGGTGGGAAATTCCAGATTGGTTTCCTTCCCACAGTTCATTGTGGGCCCCCCGCTTATTAGGGACCGCTCCCCCAGCACACAAAGAGCCCTACTGTTCCTTGCTTTACCAGGAACAGGGAGCAAGATGAAGGATGGTTGTCTCTGTACTGCCAGGAGCCCCTAAAGACCAAAAAATGTCTCTCAGTACAAACCATGTGAGCCATCCCTTCACCCACAGCTCTTTTGGAAACTCTGCTGTGTCTGCTGGAGCACCCCTATCAACCTGCTTGTTATCACCCTCAAAGCATTGTAAATGTTTGTGAGGCCAGGTTTCCTTTGTAGAAGCCATGCTTCCTTAGCAAAGCTTGTTCTTCTGGATGCTCAGCAAGGCTATCCTTCGTCATGCTGTCCATTGGTTCACTTGACAGGTCCGTCATTCCTGGGGCCCTCTCTACCACCTCCCAGGCTTACAAGACGAGCCACATACTGCAGTGGGAAATAATTTGTTCCCAGGCTGAGGATTACAGGATGTCGTTTGTGTTCAGACTCGACAGACTGGCTTTTGGCAAACGCAACGAAGTGCTTTCACTGTTAAGACTCCATGGCTTCTTTCTTCAGCTGGGTCCCAGTGCAGCATTTAAACAGAGAGAAACACCTCTCTGCAAAGAGTGTGCCGTGTTTCACTAAATCCATCCCCAGCAAAGGTTCCAGGATGGTTGTGGGCAATTGGTCTCTCTTTTGGAGCATGGGACATTTCCAATTTCAAGGGGTCATGAAGCAGAAGGAAAGAGACCCCAGGGAAGCCGAGGGAGAGATCGGGAAGCAGCGCGAGACGAGAGACCGGGAGCTTTACGTGCAGAGTCCCCGAGCTTGACGTGCTTGCTCAGCTCTCAGAGTTTTTGGCCTGGCAAAGGAAGTGAAGTTTGGATGGGAGGGTTTCTCTTTTGTGTGTGAACCAGTGGCTGCTGGGGGGGGGGGATTGCAGTAATCCAACTCAGCCCAAGCTGCGTGGAAGAACATCCGTCTGTTGCTCCTTTTGTGCATCACTGGCGCCTTGATTCTCCTTCCAGCATTGAGACTTCACCAAAGGGGTTTAAAAAAAATAATAATATGGTTAATTGCCAGACTCGAGACCAGAGCGTGCCAGGACATGAGTTGCCCAGGTAGAGCCGAAACAGATGAGTTCTTAAGTCCTGAGGCCCAAAGGGGTGGGTTCAGTTGCCAAATGGCGATTCACTGCAAGCTCTCAGGGCAGAGGGCGTAGGAGTCAGGAGCCACCACCACCAGCACCATCATTAAAGAGGCGCCCGACTCCACCATTACAGCCTCTGCCAGTTATTTATGTTATTCGATTTATATCCCGCCCTCCCCGCATGGCAGGCTCAGGGCGGGTTACATCAGATTTAATAAAAATACAATATATAAAATGCAAAGGAACTGGTAAAAATACAATTAAAACACTGATAAATTACAACTATATCCTTCAGCCGGCGCAGTTGTCCTTAGAATTAAGCCTCACAGATGCCATCTCTGGTAAGCAGTTCTGACCCACTGAGGGGAGACCCAAAAAAGAGGGAGGGACGTCCGTCACTCTAGTTAAAAGCCTGGCGGAAGAGCTCCATCTTGCAGGCCCTGCGGGACTGTAAAAGGTCCCGCAGGGCCCTGATCTCATATGGGAGCTCATTCCACCAGGAAGGGGCCAGGGCTGAAAAGGCCCTGGCCCTAGTCGAGGCGAGACGGACGTCCCCGGGCCGGGGACCACCAGAAGATGTTGATTGGCAGATTGTAAAACCCTTCAGGGCTCATAGAGGGATAAAGATCGAGAACTGATGAATAAAGTAACCGTTGCCGCCATCCCAAATGTATTAGTTTACAACCAGCTAACGCTTTATGTTTTGAATTGTTTTTAGATGGTCTTATCTATGTCATGGAGCTGCGGTGGCTCAAGTGGTTAAGACACTGAACTGCAGGCTGTGGAAGGTCGGTAGTTCAGCAGTTCGAGACCCAAGTTGCCGCATGACGGAGTGCGCTCCCGTCTCTAGTTCCAGCTCCTGCCAACTTAGCAGTTCGAAAGCAAGAAATTGCAAGTAGATAAATAGGTACCACTTCGGTGGGATGGTAACAGTGTTCCGTGCACCTTGGTGTTTAGTCATACCGGCCACATGACCACGGAAACGTCTTCGGACAGCGCTGGCTCTTCGGCTTTGAAACGGAGATGAGCACCGCAACCCTAGAGTCGGACTCGACTGGCTTTCGAGCAAGGGAACCTTTACCTTTATCTACGTCATAGTTGTTTTTTGTGTTATTCTTGTAAGCCGCCCTGAGCCCACTTTGGCGGGGAGGGTGGGGTATAAATCAAATAAATAAATAAATAGAAGCTCTGGGTTGGGGAATTCTTGGGGGATTTGGGGGTGGAGAGGGACGTCCGTAGACTGTAATGCCATAGGCTCCACCCCCTGAAGCTGATCTCTGTCAACTGGAGATCAATTGTAATTCAGGGAGATCTCCAGGTGGAGGTTGGCGACCCAGGTAGGGAAACGCCTGTGATGGATTTTTCAAAAAAGGATCACGACGGTTATCAGGAACGGTTCCGATCCATCCCTTTTCCTCTCGTTTCTCTAGTTCAATGTTTATTTGTTTTTTGAAAAAGAAAGAATCACGTAAGAAACGGTTAAACGAGGGACCAGTCTTTTCGGGGGAAACATTCTCAGATCCACCGAAGAAGAGTGAGCGGGGGGGGGGGGGGGGAAGGGCCGGGGAGACATTTAAAGAAGATTTCCTGGCTGTGGTTAAACAGTAACCACACAGCCTGTTGGAGGCCTGGTTTTTAATCACCCCACGAGCAGTTTTCATTTCTGCAGTAAAATTGCTTGTGGTTCTATTTAATTTGTTTCTGCAGGAACCGGCTTTGGCGAAGATCTCCCAGGAGCTGCCAGGCCTTTTAGCACAGCACGCCCAGGCTGTCAATGAGAAACGATTTCCTACATGGGGAAAATTCCTCCAAACGTTTGTGAGTCAAGGTAAATAAGACTGCTAAGTTCCCGCTAAGTGCTATAAGGGATAATTATATCACCGGCACTTTGTTCTCATTCATTGGGATATTTCTCCACATTCTTTTGTGGTTGCCTAAGTTCCCGCTAAGTGCTATAAGGGATAATTATATCACCGGCACTTTGTTCTCATTCATTGGGATATTTCTCCACATTCTTTTGTGGTCGCCATCCC